AAGAAAAAAAAACTTAAATTTAATAATATAATAATGGAGAATTTTTTTTATAGTGTAATATTTGGTGTTGTGGTTGGAGATGAAAAAACTTTTTTTGACACCAAAACACCAAATTTGGTGTAATTTCAACACCAAATATGGTGTCAAGGTTGGAGTTGCTCTTAGGCTTTAGTATAACAGTCACTGCGATTACAAAATTGTACAGAACCAACATGTAAACAAGTCTGTTGTTTTTTATCTGAAGTTTATTTATATTTTTTTACTTTCATTGTTGTGTGCTTGATGTCTTTAATTCTCTTTTTTTTGTTTTAAATCTTCAAAGTAAATTAGGAAGCATGATCCAGTTAATATAAAACAGTTTTTGTTTGAATATATAATTTAACATATATTTTACACACAAAAAAAAACAAAACAGATGTTAAAGAAAAGAGAAAAACAAGAGGGGCGTTCCGAGAATTGAACTCGGGACCTCTCGCACCCTAAGCGAGAATCATACCACTAGACCAAACGCCCATTTCTGTTTGAATGTGAGGCTAGAAAATATATACACTATTTTTCTGTGTTGTTTGTTAATTACAGTCCCCTCGAACCCTAACGAGAAGACGCTTCTGTCATTGCGCGCCTAAATAATTCTGTCTTCCCTCGCTTTCCTCTTCTCTCACTTTTGGGATCTAAGACTGAAATCGTAATCCTCCCTCAATTATTTCCCTCTAAATAATTAAACCAGTGGTGAGGATTCAGTTCCCGTCGAGAGGGGATTTATTGTTGCCGGAGTTTTGTTCGTCGGTTGATGAATCGTAATGGGTAAAGTGAAGAACAACGATTCATCGCAGCAAGAGACTCAGCCGATTGACTCTCTTCCTTCTTCGCCTTCTGATTCTGGTAATTTACTTAAAGGATCTCTTTTTAGGGTTTTATTCGTCTTCAAAGCTCTGATTTTTGCCTTTTCTCGATCTGGGTTTGTCAACATCAAACAAAAAGTTGGGATTGAGTTTCTCACTGTTAATGGGTTTCTCCGATAATCGTTTTTTTCTTCTCCAATCGGGAAAAAAATCTGATTTTTTTCTGTGTGATTGATCGAATTTTTCTAAAATTTTGGAACTTTGTTTCATGTTAGGTGAAGATAAAGATGGTTGGGTTGGGAATTGTGGCGATGAGTTAGGGTTTATGCAGGACACTGAGCCTTTTGAAGACGATGCTTGGATCAATGACCAGTATATGGACACTCAGGTTATGGACACTGAATGTGATAAAGAAGATGATTTTCTTCTTTGTGGTGAAACTCAAGCTCTGAATTTGGGGTTTGAAAGTCAAGAAGAACCAATTTTAGAGGGGAAACAGTTACTCGAAGCTTCTGATGGTTTGGTTACACAAGTGCTGGATCGTTT